GGGATGAAGGAGAAAATGTACACCACAACTCAGTGAAGAAATAGACTTAACAGCATTATGAATGCCTAAACATTCCTAAAACAAAGATAAAAGATGTTTAAATGTTAACCTGACAACACATGAAAAATACTTAAATCTACTAAGTTAAGATAGAGCAACCACCAACCTTTAGGCTGGAATACACACACACAAACACACACACACACCCATATCCATATCGCTAAAACTGCAAACTTTTGAAGCTTACAACTGGGCACAATACTGCTGGTTTCCTATTGCTAATACATCCTGTCATCGAGCTCAAAACTGCTAGTTTCTCACAGCAAGAAATCAGTGATCTGCAAGCAGAATAACTTGGAATAAGCAAAAACCTTTCTGCTGGGTCCCACCTGCCAACCTTCTTTAAGGTTGCTGGGAGAGAATGAGAAGAAAACAGCAAGAACACAAGGGAACCCTGACAATTGATAAAGACCAAAAGTACATCATGCAGTTAATTTATTTCCATAAGGCAATGATATCATTAAATCATAACACCTTTTAACATGAAGAATTCAAACAGATATCCCTTCCTCTTTGAAACTCAGCAAATTAAAAAAAAAACACCACCACCTCAGAATTAATTCACTTCAGGCAATCTCAAGTTTATATAGTAAAAGATTGAGCTTTTTCAACCTGACTAAAATACCTGTGAGGTTATTAAATGAAAAAGGGGGGAATTTAGATGGAAGAGACGGGGGTGGAGGGAAGAGTAGCTCCTGGATTCTGAAGAAACCACAGGCCTTGTTAAATGCTAACCTTAACAATGTCAAGGCAGCAGCGATAGGCTTCTGTTCTAATATTTGGCACAGGATGAGACAACAGATGGAGAAGCGTCTTCTGACTCTCATTCTGCAGCAGTGGGTCAGCTCCAGCAGATTTCCAGCTACAACCAGAAAAAAACAGAGAATAACCGAAATGGCTTCAAGGCTTAAATAGCAAATTCTCTCCACTCAAGACCCGCAGAGGCCTTGGATTATTATTCAGTTATTTATTCGCTGCCATTCCTGAGTAAATCCCCAAGAAGATGAAACTTGGCAAGCTAAGAGATTTGGGGTAATTTCAGCAGTTAAACTGATCTTGTAGTCTTTTATTCTGAAGAAAAATGAAGGAAGTTTTACTTTAATGCTGTTAGCTCTTCCTGACACATTTGTGGATGTCACCATTGTCAAGGTAGGAAAGTTTGGGAAAGTTTATGATCATTGTTTGCCTTAAATCTCTTTGTAAATTGTAAGATGTAGTTTCATTAAACAGATGTGTGTATTCATCTATACCTATCTACAACATGTTACCACATACATGGCACCATATAGTGAAAATTTCCCATTTCATTATCAGAATAATACTTAATACTAATAAAACTCTTAAATTTGTCCAATATTCTCTACAGATACAGATTTTGTATGCCTAATATAGTAAAATACATGTATATTATTTAATTCAAAGATTATGCACCTATATATGTATATATGCATCATCTTTCAATTAAATAATTACTGTATGTATAAAATTGCAACTGTGTATTGTTGCAAGGACATATTATATTATATATTTTAATTATTTTTTGCTATTGTATTTTTTCATTTATTTTTACGGACTCACAATATATATATTTTAAATAATATATACGGGTAGTCCCCAACTTACAACAGTTTGTTTCGTGATCATTCGAAGTTACAACAGCACTGAAAAAAGTGACTTATCATTTTTTACACTTACTGCCATTGCATCATCCCCATGGTCGTGTGATTTACATTTGGAGGCTTGACAACTGTCTCACATTTAGGCCAGTTGCAGAGCCCTGGGGTCATGTGATCACCTGGTGCAACCTTCGATAAAGCAAAGTCAATGGGGAAACCAGATTCCCTTAACAACTGTGTTACTAATTTAATGACTGCATTGATTCACTTAACAATAGCAACAGCACTTAGGACTCATATACCACTTCACAGTGCTTTACAGCCCTCTCTAAGCTGTTTACAGAGTCAGCATATTGCCCCCAACAATCTGGGTCCTCATTTTACCCACCTCGGAAGGATGGAAGGCTTTGAGCTTGGTGAGATTTGAACTGCCAAATTGCAAGCAACAGGTAGTCAGCTGAAGTAGCCTGCAGTACTGCATTCTAACTACCGTACTGTGCC